CACTGATAAAGATATTGAACAGAACTGGCGCCAACACTGAGCGCTGGGGAACACCGCTCGTGACCAGCCACCAACTGGATTTAACTTCATTCACCACCACTCTGTGTGCTCAGCCATCCAGCCAGTTTTTTACCCAGTGAAGAGTATACCCGTCCAAGCCATGAGCAGCCAGTTTCTCCAGGAGAATGTTGTGGGAAACGGTGTCAAAGGCTTTACTGAAGTCTAGGCAGACCACGTCCACAGCCTCTCCCTCACCCACTAAGCAGGTCACCTTGTCACAGAAGGAGATCAGGTTGGTCAAGCAGGACCTGCCTTTCATAAACCCATGCTGACTGAGCCTGATCACCTGGTTGCCCTGTCAAGACTAAGAAAGCCAGAAACCCTGAATGAACTGCGCGAATTTCTTACCTTCAGTGGAATATCGTAGCCATAGTTAGATCTAAAGTTAGAAGCCTCTTCTCTAGCTATGTCCGCCAAAGAACGGGCATCTGCCAGAAGTCCCGCTACTGCCTGAAATGAGAATTGTCATCAGCTAGGCCAAACACACCTTGCAACAACTTATTAATAAAATCAATGTACAAAAGTCTAATTATGTGACTTAACTGTGATCTTTACTGAATTCTATGTATGTCTACAAGTGAATTCAATCAAGCTATTCATCTGCTAGCAAGCTCAAAACAGTACAGAATTTTTCTCTAGGAAAAGTCAATAACCAAAATTATTTTCATGTTAAATAGTGTCTTATGGTTTGCCACCACTACACTAACCCAAACAATACTGCATATTATAAATATTCTTATTATATATGAAGTATTGTTTATTATAATACTTCACCTAATACTTCAAAAAAGACAACCATAGCAATATACTATTTTTTTTCCTGTTTTGTATGACTACTTGGCTTAGAAGCAAATCCAATTCTCCGCCCGATACTGATGATGTCACCAGCAGAGAGTTACAGGCATTTCTGTCACACAGTAACAACTACTTGATATCATCCTGATATCACTCTTACGAATACGCCAGTCTTTACAGAACTCAGCTGACTCCCAGCTGTTGAGAAGAGAATCTTCTGGGAGCTGGACTCGATGATCTTATTGGTCCCTTCCAACTTGAGATATCTATGATCTGGTACACAGCATGTTTTCCCTTCAACACATCTTATTTGTTAACTGCATAAAAAAGGATGACTTTAACACTTGTGCTTATCTTTACATTCATGTTTGAACAACTGGAGTGCTGAAAAACATTTTTAAAAAATTTAAAACAGTCTCAAAATATGTACATGTCTTCTATTTTAAATTTGGACTTAACTTCTGTGTGTGTGTGCAATCAAGAATAAATTACAGAAAACAGTAAAAAAAAAAAAATCCACTGGCATTTCCAACTATGTACACAAAAACATTAAAATTACTTTCTTAATCTACTTATTATTGATTCTGTGATACATAGATTTCTACTTTTGAGGGGAGTCCCCTTCAAATTATGAAAAACTAAAGTAGACCTTACCATTCCAACATGTCGATCGACATTAAAGAGACGTTTATTGGAACCCTCTTCATAAAGCTTGGACAGAACTAGTTTTTCTACTCCAAAGACAACACCATCTTTGCATCTTATCCCAATTGCTGTACTGAAAGACAAGATAAATGTAAGTTTCTCACACAGAACTGTAGTGTAAAATACATAACAGAGAATTAATAAAATACGAGAAACAATGACATAATTTCCCCAGAAGTAGATTTGTTACAACTCCACTTTAGCATTGAAGACAACAAGGGGAAAAAAAACCCCAAAGCTCACTAAACCTACAAATATTTTCTCAAATCAAGGAGGAGGGGGCAGCCAGAAGTCCCTACCCAAATAGTTTAGAACAGACTATATGCCGTGGTGGCATTGTTTGGAGCGACTGCATAGCCACTGCCCCGTCACTGAGCTGAACAACACTAATATGAAAACTATGCATTGTTTAACCTCTCCTTTTGGTAAATTCACTGTTGATCTAGGAGATGTGACAACTCTCTCTCTAACCCTCAAAAAGTGCATCATCAGCCATAAATTACCAACCATGGCATGAACCACTACGCAAAATACTTTCACTGATCCTTATCTGGCAACCTGTGGCTATGATCAGACACTTGGGTGACCCAGTCTATGCACTGCTGATCAATCATCTCGCTGCTGCTAGAGCACAGTTGGGATTTTTGCTTTACAGCATTCCTTTGCATATACTGAAGGGAAGACAGATACTCGCAGAGAAGCTGATGTAGCTTCAGCAGAACTTGAATGTCCTCAGTTTCCTGAGGAATGCATATGAAGTTATAAATTTACGAGGCCCTGAGCATGTCAGTCTTTCAGTGCCTGAATTCACGTCCATAAAACGGAAATTTAGGTACTGCTACAGCAGCTCTACTGCCATAACAGCTAAGCACCTTACACGTATTAATGAGACCTGCAATCAGATTTTGCCCCAAAGCATAAAATTTTTATTGCCCTTATGCACGAGTAAGTTTACTGCCTTCTTTTGCATTCTCCACAACATGTCTGTTTCTAGCAAGCAAGCGATTCCTAGCAAGTGTGAAAAGTGATTTCTAGCAAGCAAAAGTGATTACGCTGCTTTTACACTTAATTTGAAGCTTCCTAAAACGAACCTAGGGACACAGTTGCTCAGAACTAATTTTAACAACATAATTTTATCTGCAGTGCCATCATGCTTGTCCAATTACACTGCTTTAAAAAAGGCCAACCAACAGATAGTGATGCAGATATTTGTATCTTACCTACTATTCTCCACAGCTTTCATAGCATATTCAACTTGAAATACTCTGCCATCTGGAGAAAATGTGGAAGCTGACAGGTCGTACTGAAGAAGGAAACACACTACTCAGAAAAAAAAACCAATTATATCCCAGTATTTTCAGAAGACGTTTATGTATTTAAAAATGCGAGACTGTCACCCGCGTGATGGCTACGAAACACCAGAAGGCGGCTGCCCCCTTACATAAGATGCACGAACAGCAGCAAGCACACACCAACAACTACAAGAAGTCATGGCACCAGCGCTGGATACACCCGCACTTCAAACCCCGTCAATCCAGACGTTGCACAGATCTGAAATCACCGTGCATTACGCAATACGTAAAACCTACGGGAACTTTCTGTGTGCCTTTCAAATTTATTTTACAACTTTTGAAAAAAACAGACATTTAATAACAGGAATGTATTTGAAACGGTCAGAAGGATATCACGCACATCGGCAGGCTCACTCCCTACTGGCGGAGCACCACAGGGGTGCGGAGCTGTGGGTCGGACCCAAAGGCAAGAGGGCGCAGGGGCTCCGCGAACTCCTGCCGA